TGCAAAAAAAAAAGAACACCCCAGGAAACTCTGGACCAGCCCCCCCCAATCCCATGCTTAGTAATAATCCACATTATTTCTGCAAAGGTGGCTATTTCTATGGGCAGTTTTATTACGTAAACTCAAATAAACTAGAAGCATGGGAATATTGAAGCTACTCACAAAAATGAATAAGATAGGAAATGATGAAATATGAGAACTAATGAACAACAGCGAGACCGGTACTTTGAGGAGTCCAGTAACCAGCAAAACTGGCGGAGGAAGACACATGGCCCCAGTGAGCAATATCAAGAACAAAAGCGGGTGAGAGCAAAAAGCAGAAATTCAAATCACATCAAATTGCTCTCAGAGGGGCCGGCAGGTGGCGTTGTGGTTAAGGGCGCTGGACTCCCATGTGGCCAACCATGGCTTGAGTCCTGGACCTGGCAGCTTGCTTTCTCATTTTCCCTCTCTTCCTCTCTCTCTCACTCAGTCCCTCTCTGATCAAATTAAAATAAATGAAGTTAGATAAAAATAATTATATTTTTTCTTTTTCTTTTTTTTTGCTATAGGGCACATGCACTTACCAGAAAAAGAGAGAAACAGACAGAAAGCAAGAAATCCCCCCCCCCCAGGGGGGATGGCCACGCCGCAATCCCTTCTCCATTCTCCTCTCGGGATCTTGGGCACGCACGCACACATGCCGGGAGTGAGTGTAAGCCACCAGGTCCGGGACTCAAACCGCGGTTGGCTACATGGGAGTCCAACGACATAGCCATCACGCCAACTGCTAGTCCCAATGAAATAATTCTTTATAGGGCTGGCAAGTGGCGTGGTGCATAAGGGTGTTGGACAACCCACATGGCCCACTGTGGTTCGAGTCCTGGACCTAGTGGTTTGCTTTCTCACTTTCCCTCTCTCTCTCTTTCTCTCTCTCGCTCTCACTCTAACTCTCTGTCCCTCTCTGGTCAAATTAAAATGAATAAATAAAATTAAAACAAAATAACTCTAAACACAATAACTTTTTTTCCTTTTTTAAATTGCTCTCAGAGTGGAAGGAGCTCTGGAAGTGGCTGACTGGGATTCCCCTGCAACCTCCTGGGCTGCTTGTTCCACCCCGGGGCAATGCGGACCTCACCCAAAGCTGCATCACATCTGGCCTCCCAGGGCCCCTCATCTCCTGCGTCGTCACAAATGTTGACACCCACAAGCTCCCAGAGCGCACGCCCAAACCACGTGTGTGTATACATGTACACACAGACAGCCAACGAGCTCTGGGACATAGATACCCGTGTTCCGGAGCTGCATTCTGCTGTGTATGTGGAAGCACTCCTACACATGCATACACACGTGTTCCCACGGCACCACCATGTCAGAGATGTTGGCACGTCCACGCGCCCCGGCACGCTGGACCCATGTTTTGGATCACACCTGCGTTCATGTCCATGCGCCATCTACACGCGTGTGGAGTCCCATTTACAGAGGGTGTCCAGGCGAGGGCACACACGTTAACGCGTGGCATGATCCCATCACACGCTTGCCTCCCGCGGCACCTACACCGGTGTGGCAGACCCAGCGCCCCATGCAGGCCTGCAGGGTGGGAGGTCATACCTCGAGCTCCCTCAGCAGTTCCGACTGACCACACGACTCCAGGTCTTCAAGGGCTTCCCCGAACACGCGCCAGAAGCCCTCCTCGTGGGCGGGGCCGGGGGCTGAGCTGCAATGTAGGAACCAGAGCGTCAGCTCCGGGCAGGTGGGCAGGCAGGCGGGTGGGCTGGGCCTGAGGAGTCTTCGGGGCCCCAGGACCCAGCGGCGGGCTCCAGGGGTCATAGGGTGGGCGGGCAGGCAGGCGAGCGGGCGGGCGGGCGTCCTCGGTGGCAGTGCTGGGGCCCCAGGGCAGTGGTTGGTGACACGGAATGGGGGGAAGACGCAGTTAGGGCGACCAAGACTGTGTCGGTTGGCCAGTTAGAACAAGGGCAGATGAGACGGGGTGGAGAGCGGTGACACAGGACGCCTAGGAAAAGAGACAGACGGACAGACAGACAACAGACAGAGACAAAGAGGAGACCCATGGTGCGGCCTCAGAAGACACCAGCCCCTGCCCCCACCCAGACACATGGCACCATGGGACAGTCACGGGACAGAGCTGGAGCCAGCGAGGACACAGAGAGATGGACGAGATGGAGCCTTGGTGCTGGGAAGTGGGTAGAGACCACCCTAACGCCCGTCCCAGGCTGGACGAGCCCCTGTCAGCGCCAACACTGAGCGGAGGCTGAGGAAGGAACAGTTCAGGCCAGCAGGGGGCGTGGAGGTCAAGGCTGCCGGATCCCACATAGCCGACTGCACTGTTCGAGTCCCGGACTCGGCAGCTTGAAAACACACTGGGTGGGACCAGCAGTTGGCGTAATGGCTATGTCACTGGACTCCCATGTAGTCGACCACGGTTCGAGTCCTGGACCTGGTTGCTTAAACTCACACTGGGTACATGTGAGTGTGTGCCCAAGATCCCGAGAGGAGAATGGAGGAGAAGGGATTGCGGCGTGACCATCCCCCCTGGGGGTGATTTCTCGCTCACTTGCATGTCCAAGATCCTGGGAGGGGACTGGAGGAGAAGGGATGGCAACGTGGCCATCCCTCTGGGGGATGATTTCTTTCTCTCTCTCTCTCTGTCTCCCTCTCTCTCTCTGGAGGCCTACAGGGAAAAAAAAACACACACACACACTTTTTTTTTTTTTAGAGGTTTTTGCCTTAGGGCATGTGTGTTCACTGGAGAAGAGAGACAGAGACAGTGAGAGGGAAAGTGAGAAATCACCCCCCAGGGGGGATGGTCACGCCGCAATCCCTTCTCCTCCATTCTCCTCTCGGGATCTTGGGCGCGCACGCACACGTGCCCAGCGTGAGTTTTAAGCCACCGGGTCCGGGACACGAACCGCGGTCGACTACGTGGGAGCCATTACGCTAACTGCTGGTTCCCAAAATAAATAATTCTTAAAAAAAAAAAAAAGTGTGAGGCTGAGGGCATTCACTCCATTCAAGTCAACTCCACCGAGACAAGCCCTCCATGGGCCCAGGGGCTGGGGGCTGGGAGGTGTGGCTCCTGTGGTCGGCGGGGGGCCGCGTGGCAGGGACGACAGCCAGGTGACTAACCAGGCAGACACACAGGGGCCCCCAGGAGGCTTGCACGTGTAGTGACAGAACGGAGGGAGGAATTCCTTCTGCCCGAGAAAGTGAGGAGAGCTTCCCAGAGACAGGAGGCTCTGAGCTGGGTTTGGGAGGATGAGTAGGAGTTCGCCAGGAAGGAACAGGAAAGGAAAGGGCATTCTAGGCAAAAGGAACTGCCGGGCCAAATCCAAGCGTGCAGGGTGGTGGCCAGGTCCAGACGAGGGGCAGGCTTCTCCGGAGGGCCTGCTCGCCGCAGGAGCCGGCTCCCAGAGCCAGGTCATCTGACCACAGCCAACGTCCCGGAAGCAACCCGGATGCGGGCAGGGAGGCCTGGGTGAGTTGTAAGGACAGGAGGCTCCCGCCAGGGAAGGGCAGGCCAGGCTGCGCCCCGCCCCACACCTCGCCTGCCCACGCCCTGCCCGGGTATGCGGTTCCCCCACGTCACCTGCAGAGGGCGCTCTGCTCGAGGCTCTCTCTCCAGAAGGGGCCATGATGCCTCCACCTCCCACTCAGACCTCCCTCCAGTCTCCCAGAGACCAGCGCTGCCCCCTCCTCGTGGTGCCCCTTCCACAGACCTAGCTGGTGGCTCCCACTCCTCCTCTTCCTCCTCCTCCGGGAAGCTCTCGCTGGCAGAGGCTGGGGTGTAGCTCATTCTCCGGGGCTCAGCGGGTGGGGGGCTGCTCCTCAGCCGGCCGGGCCTCCACTCCTGGGGGCTCATCCCCCGGGCCGCTGCCTGTGGGACGTAGGGCCCTGGCGGCAGAGGGGGGCATCTGCAGGGCCTGTCCCCTCCCTGGCCTTCCTGCCCCGCTGCCAGCCACACCCACACGGCCCCGCCTGGGCCAGGCCTCTGCGCCCCTCTGGGCTGCGTGACCACCAAGCCTCAGGGTCCCTCGCACCCCAGAATCCTCTCCGTCTCCGGGACGTCCAGCAGGGTGGCCACGCCAGACCCCAGGACCCTGCCCAAACTGCCCGGGGCTGAGCCGAGAGATGACCAAGAAACCCAGAGGGGCCCCAGAGAGGGCAGAGGTCCAGCGAGTGAGACCCAAGCTGGGAGCCCCCAAGGCCCTCCAAGGCCTCCCTCTGTCATCTTTACAGGACCTCAGGGGGTTTGTGTGGCTCTGGTCACAGATGCCATCCCTGAGGCCACCATGGGTCACAACACGCACCGCAGGGGAGGGCGCCAGGTCTAGGAGGGGGTGTGAACACCGTCTGAGCACCCCGTGTGCCAGAGTGGCAGAGGTGCGACCACCCGCCCCCAGCCTCCCAGCGGGCATCTGGGCCGTCAACCGGGGACTGGGGTTCACTTGGCTGTGCCCGTGGCCGGGCTCTGGGGACAGGGCCCTGGGCGGGGCTACAGGCCTTCTTCCCTCAAGTGTCCCAAGGCTGGTCCCACAGGAGCTGAGGGCCCCAAGGGAGCGGGTGCAGGGGGCAGCCCTGCAGAGCCCAGCGCCAGGCAGCCAGAGCACGCTGCTTGTCCCCAGGCTGAGCTGCTACCTGGGCCCCCAAAGCCACCCTCCGTGGCCGCACTGTCCCAGGACTCCACGGCGCTGTCCACGCTGGGCACGGCGGGGGGGCCAGCAGGCCGCCTTTGAGCGCCTCCGGAGGGTCCTCGTCCACGTCGCTGGCCTCGCTGAGGCTGCCCGACTTGCGGGGCATGAGGGGGTCTGGAAGGAAAAGGGGGTGTCACCTCTGATCACAGACAGCGGCTCAGCGAGACCCGGCTTCCCACACGGGGCGGCCTGGGACCTTGGGCACGGAGCCTAGGTGCTGGGCCTGCTGCTGGTACACGCGGGATGGGGTGGGACAACCGAGGCCGACCACCCAGCCAAGGTCACAGCGGGAGCCCGGATGAGCAGGGAGACCCCCAAAGTGTAGTCAGGGGAAACCGAGGGGTGTCCGGGTTCGAGCCTCGAAGCACACAGATGGGGACTCCGAGGGCAGGAGGGGATGGGCACGGGTTCGGAGCCACACTGCCCACACTAGCTGGGCTTGGCCCCTGCTGCCCCTCTGACCTGTCCCCTCAGCCGGGCCAGGTCCCCTCCCACCCCCACAGGGCTGAGGTGAGGGCACCGTGAGGCTGCGTATGGAAAGCGCGGCACGGATGCAGCACCGGCCCCTCCGACATGGCGAGGCCCTGGGGTGTGGAGCGAGGCTCACGGTCCAGCTGCTTCTTGATCTTCAGCGTGACGGTCTCTCCGGCCACCTGCAGGAGGTGGATGGCCTCGCTCAGCGGCCGGCCCTTGAGGCTAACACTGTTGATGGCCAGGATACGGTCCCCCACGTGGATGGCGCCAGTCCTGAGGAGCAGGCACAGGGCGGAGGATGGGGGTGAGTCTGTCCTCAGGAAACCCAGGGGAACCCCAAGGTGCAAGCCTGCCTGACCCCAGTTAAACCCAGCTGCAACAAATAAACAAGTGTGACCTTGGGTTGCATTACTAGAGGTATAAAGTCTAGAATCTGGGAGTCACAACCGGCTGGCACACACGAAGACGTCTGAGGTCATGTTGTCTGCCTGATTCGAGTTAGGTTCTGGGGCCAACGTCCAGCACAGGTTTGCTCTTATTTATTTACCTATTTATTTATTTTGGAGAGGTTTTCGCTATAGGGCGCGTGTACTCGCCAGAAAGACAGAGAGAGACAGAGAGACAGAAAGCGAGAAATCACCCCCAAGAGGGGATGGCCACGCCACAATCCCTTCTCCTCCATTCTCCTCTCGGGATCTTGGGCACGCACGCACACGCACACACACGCACCCGGCGTGAGTTTAAGCCACCGGGTCCAGGACTCGAACCGCGGTCGACTACATGGGAG